ACTGAAAAATAAGAAATGGGGGGTTGACATTTTTAGGATATACTATAGTATTCAGAGGAATGAATGAATAATGAATAATTGGGACTGGAGCAATAGCACAGTGGATAGGACATCTGCCTTGCATGCCGCCGACCCAGTTTCAATTCCTTCATTCCCTCTCAGAGAGCCCAGCAAGCTACTGAGAGAATACTGCCCACATGGCAGAGCCTGGCAAGCTCCCCAGGGCATATTCAATATGCCAAAAACAGTAACAACAAGTCTCACGATGGAGATGTTACTGGTGCCTGCTCGAGCAAAACGATGAACAATGGGAGGACAGTGCTATAGTGCTACTATAGTATTAACATTTTGTGGTACATATTGTCACTCCACTCCACCTAACAAATAAGAGCTGCTATGTCTTCACCACAATTGCTAGGTCCTTTCTTGTCCATATCGCTTCTTCCTCCCCCACTCTCCAGGGTAAACTCAGTTCTATTGACAAAATTAGTTTACTTTCATTGGATGTTACCTATTCCTTTGATTTGTTCCTTTATATTTTAAATACAAGTAACAAAAGTATTTGTCTTTCTCCTTCTGACTTGCTTTGCTTAACATGTCAATCTTCCATTTGATACAAATTTTAGCTATTTGAAAGATCTAGTTTATATTTATAGCTGAGAGGTATTCTATTTTGTTCATATACACAATTTATTATTCACTTATTTATTGTTGGACAATGGGTTGTTTTCTGCTCTTGTCTATTATAATAGGCTGCAAGTTAATTCAGAAGTACATTGTCTATTTAAATTTATGTTTTTATGTTGGGGTAGATACTAAATAGAATTACTGGATCTTACAGTAGCTCTATTTTCAATATTTTGAGAAGTCTCTGTCCTGTTACTCAAGATTTGTTCATCATTTAACAAGAAATAAAGATATGTTTTCTCAAGAAAAGAAAGTTTAAGTATAGATAGGCATTGATAATTATTTGACTTTAAAGCAAAGTCCTTGAGCGATTAACCTAAGCAATTGTCACAATCTTGAATATTTTTCTTCCAGTGTTTCAATCTGTCACTCTTTTAGGATCATGGAAATCTTATCTGTTTGAAGAATTATCCTTTATTTATTGTGTGATAACTTGCCTAGAATTATAGTTCCTAGTATGCATATTTTATTTCTCAAGATTGCTAAACTAATCATCAATGAACATAGCCTCATCAGTAAAAAGTATGGTAGGATTTCATAGTCACTCTAAAAAAATGCCATTATTTTCAAGTCTTCTAGAGAACACCTCTTGCATATATGTTATTTTCTTTTTCAACCACAAGCTTCTGAATTGCAGACAAGAAGTGTCTTAAGAAATGTGAATCAAGTAGCGTATGCTGAGATTAATCAGGATAGAATTCTATTTATCTGCTACTCAAATTGTAATTCTATTTATGAAGTTAACAGTGCTGGTATCCTCCCATATTAATATAAATCTAACCTTTAAGGCAATGAGACACCTCCTACTTGATACTATACTAACACAGTAGTTGAATACAAAAATTTATATGAGTAGCTAAACTCAAAATCATGTTTTTTACTTAGTTTTACAGAATAAGTAGATTTGAATGTTCCACTTCAAATTGTCTTCATTTATTACTGCATTTAAAATCTTTGACCTTATAAAACAGAAGTACAAATAATGCTATTTAAGTAGAGGTTTTATGTTCACTCTTTCAACTGCAATGTGTTTTCAAACTAAAAATAGAAAAAAAATCTCCTGGCTGTCATTTCAGAAGCATAGGTATGAGTAATATATGCATATTGACCAAAGAATTATAAGGATTAAGCAAGAGAATTTTTAAAGACACATTAATAAACTACTAAAAGCAGAAATGAGTAGAGGCCAGTGATAGAAACTTAAGGAACAATAGTAGTCTTTATCATTCTCAAACGCATACACATGCAGACACATTTGTTATAGAAATCACTACACATACAGCAGCAGGTTAGAAATACAATGGGGAATTATGTACTTAAAAGAGAAGTTGAAGAATTTTTTTCACTGGGGTAATTCCTTTAACCTTTTTTTTTTGTCTTCACGTATGATATTATTCCAGTTCTAAATATTTGAAATGTTATGATGGAACTGACTTCTGACTTAAGAGAAGTGAATGATACTACCCACATCAAAGACATAGAAGGATATATATTTTAGTCATCCTAAACAATGCAAGAGATATATAGACCAAATCATTATTTTCTGTAGCACTGTAGCACTGTCCTCCTATTGTTCATTGATTTGTTCGAGCAGGCACTAGTAACGTCTCACAACAAATTGTGAGACTTGTTGTTACTGTTTTTTTGCACATCTAATACATCACTGGAAGCTTGCCAGGCTTTTGCCGTGCGGGCAAGATACTCTCGGTAGCTTGCCAGGCTCTCCGAGAGGGGCAGAGAAATTGAATTTGGGCCTGCCACATGCAAGGCAAACACATTACCCGCTGTGTTATTGCTCCAGCCCATTTATTATTTATCATGAAAAGAATTTTTAATGGTAACCAAACTTGATAAGGGGACTGTCGAGATGCAAAAAGAGGATGTTCAGTATGAGAAGGAATCTGGAAACACTGATGTAAAGAAGTTGACCCTGTTGTCAAGATCAGTGCTGGAACACTGTATGGATAAAACCAACTCTGAATAGCTCTGTAAACTGGGGAGCTTTAATTTTTCAAAAGTATTTTTAATTAAAAAGAAAACTATTTTGCTTCACTATCTTATTGAAAAAATTTAGAATGAAAATTTTAAGATAACAAAGAATGACAATACTGTAAGTAATTACAGTTGAGGTGGGGCTATAATTATTGCTTATGAAAAAAAATCAAGGAACTTAGAGGAGAAGTTATTGGTCAGGTTACAAGAGGTACATGTTTAGGTCAAATAGTTATCAGAGAAATTATGCCTTGTTTAATTGATATCTTTCTCATTTTACTTCTCTATACTTCATTATCTTTTATTACTATTAACCTAAGTATAATTAAAGATATGTAATTTGATTTTTATTTATTTCTTGAATTTGAATAATTCATTGACTTTAATTATTCTGCCCAAAATATAAAAATGAAGTGCAGTTATTGTCTTTGATTTAAGTTTTGTATGAAGACGTACTTCATTAGTTTCACCTAGCACCTACTTTTGGCATGTCTCAAAAGGTGGTTAACCTTCAGTCTCTACCCTTCCTAATGCATTGTGGTTTTTTAGTTTGTTTGTTTGTTTTGTTTTTTCCTTTTTTGGTCACACCCGGGGATGCACAGGGGTTATTCCTGGCTCATGCACTCAGGAATTACTCCTGGCGGTGCTCAGGGGACCATAAAGGATGCTGGGAATTGAACCCGGGTTAGCCGCGTGCAAGACAAACTCCCTACCCACTGTGCTATCACTCAGCCCCTTAATGCATTTTTATACTGACTCATGGATTACTTGGTTGGTAAAGAAATTGGCAGTTTTCAGTTATTGTTTTTATGGTGAGAAGATTCATCAGAGAGGGTCTCTTTTCTTTAACAAAACACATACTTTGGATCAAAAAGTGTTATTTACTTTTTTATAAACCTTCCATTATCTTGAAACTATTTTTCTTGCCTTTCTTGTCATTAAAATTTCTTATTTATGTAAAAAATTCTGTGCATTTATCATATTTTATTATTCACATATGAATATAATTTTGTGAATGCCTCAATAAAATATATACTATAAAATATATTCACTTTCGCGTTAATCCAGGCAATCATTTCTGCCCAGAGGGGAAAGGGTGTTGCTCCCTTCCGCCCTCCTCCCTCTGGAAAGAAAGATGGCAGCCACATGGGAACCTTGTGGACAGCAGGTATGAGCCGGGGATGTGGGGGCGACTAAAACCTCATGGGTCGGGGGGCGTTCTGGTCCGTCCTTCACGCCCTACCGAGGTCACCAGTCGCCCCCCGCGAGCGGCTCTCCAGCACAGACACGGCCCCAGAAGCACAAGGACTTAATGCAGAACCCGGCAGCTTGGAGCAGAAAAGTGAACGGACTATGCGTTGATCCAGGCCATCAAGTCTGCCGGAGGGGAAAGGGTGTTGCCCCATTCGCCCTCTCCTCTCTGGAAAGAAAGATGGCAGCCACATGGGAGCCTTGTGGACAGCAGGTATGAGCCGGGAGTGTGGGGGCGACTAAAACCTCATGGGAAGGGGGGCGTTTCGGTCCGCCCTTCACGCCCTACCGAGGCCACCAGTTGCCCCCACGAGCTGCTCTCCAGCACGGCCACGACTCCAGAACACAGAAACCAATTTCTTAACTATCTGACTTTCAGTAGAAATACTTCCAGGGTCAATAGGTAAAATAGCAGAAATCCAAAACCAACATTTAATTCTTGAACCCAACTGTAGAAAGCAAATCACTTCACAATGCTTTTTCAGCATGTCTGATTTGGGGGGGGGGGGGTAAACTCTAAATAATAGTGGTGAATCTTTTATTGAAACAATGAATCTAATCAAAGCAGATAGAGTGTTAACTAGAATTCATCTGCCTCACAGGGACGGGGAGGGGTGGGGGGTGGGGTTTTATTGGGGTTCTTCATGGTAAAAAATAAGTATTGGTAAAGGGAAATGTGTTTGATATTTGCATGACTGAGACCTAAACCTGAAAGCTTTGTAACCTTTCCCACATTGATTCAATAAATAAATAAAAAAAAAATTTAAAAAAAAAGAAAAAAAATATATTCACTTTCTAAGTTCACACATATATAATTAAAGGTAATTAGTTAAGACTCACTTTTCCAAATTATAACAAATATTTCTACTTTATAAAAAGGTCTAGAATCATTTGAATTTAGACTAGCACACAAGGACCTAAGTTATTTATTTTACATTTTCAAAGAGTTTTGTTTTTCCCCATACCTCCACCTCCAAATATCTTTCTGTTAAAACTTATTTTCCACTTTATTAGAAATTTTGCAACTTATCTTCTTTTTTTCTATTTATATCTATATTTAAATCCTCCAGGCCAGAACCTGTTTTGTGGACAAAGGATGGTGCAGAATTACCGGATCCTGACCGAATGGTTGTGAGTGGCAGGGAGCTAAACATTCTTTTCCTGAATAAAACGGATAATGGTACTTATCGATGTGAAGCCACAAATACAATTGGCCAAAGCAGTGCAGAGTACGTTCTCATTGTACATGGTGAGTACCTTCTTGTTATCATTCTATAAAGAATAAGGACTGAAAACTAGTTTAATTATAAACTTTGGAATAGTAGGAAAAATTAAACTTTTTTCTTAAAGAAGAGGTTTTCATAAGTGTAAATGTCTACAAGCTTCACAATCAATATATTTTAAGTGAAACTAAGTCAGATTATAATATATGCTAAAAATAAAAATCATTTTGGATAAAAGCATTTTTGTTTCAAGTATCCAGTAAAATTGCGGATAATGAAAAATACACTAATGTTGATTTTTAATTTCATAAATAAATACTTAACTGTAAATAAAAATAGTATTTATAATTTTATTAAGTTAATTGTTGTGGTATTTCCACAAAAGAGCTTTTTAAAAACCATAGCTATTTTCACAAAGATTGATGGAATGTTATTGATATATATCAAAGACAAATGTATAGAATATTAGTAACAAATGCACTGATTAACTATGAATATGAAGTACTTTTTTAAAAAAGTCTGGATTACACTCATAATATGCATAATAAAACTGAAGAAAGAAATAACAAAATCCCAAATCAAAGAGAATTCTGTTTTCCTCACCTTCCAAACAACAATGTTTTGTGAGGTAGCTAACACATTTTTTGATAGCAATGAACTTTTGCTGAAGTTAATAAATACCATAATAAAAAAAATAGGTGAGTTTCTATATTAGAGTACTCTTGTACTCTTCAGCGTTTATTTTCTATGCTAAGGTATAAGGAGGGAGAAGAATTTTAGACATGTGATATTTTATTCACATATTTTGCAGTAGAAACCTTCTAAATCTAGCATTGTGTCCTACATAGTAAATCAATATTCTTTCAATATTGTATAAAACACAATATTGTAAGATAATCCAAGGTATATAGAAATCTTGAAGGTGTATGTTCATCTTATGTAATTCTATGAACGTAATTATCAAAATTTGTAACAAACTTGGATCAGTCTTATAATAATTTAAGGACTTATTTGGGGATAAATCAAATTTTGTGTGATGTGATTTCATTTTAGAAAACAAACTACTTCTGTTCCTCTTTTTTAATAAAGCAATAATGTTGTGGAGGAAAATTGGGGCAAATCATATTTTAAGTCAGCATAAAACTCTCCTGTTTAATTTATATGATTTTTTAATTCTCAATACTGTTGTGTTATTGAAGGTAAATGAAGTCTCAATGCTGTTGTGTTATTGATGGTACATGAAGGCAGTAAATTAACTCTTTGCATATTAATACCTTGAAAATAGTAGCACTCAGAGATTTTTAGTACCTCATGAATTGTGCAAATTTCAGTTTTGATAGAGATCATCTAATCAAATTAGACTGACAAATTAAAATTAAATGTGGTAAGCCCCTGTAGATACACCCTGCCAGGCTTACTGCCAAAGAGAATATAATAACCCACAGGGTGTGTCAAGAAGAAAATTTAGATACTTAGAGCAGGGTTCAGGAGATGCTTTCAAATGCTAACCTGGATGTTTATAGCACACCATTGCAGAAGTGAGGCATAGTCTGTTCACCTCTAACTTCAAAATTCTTCTCTCCCATAACATTGGGGGTGTGTTGTAGAGTATGCCATATTGTATTGATAGCAATACAACATAAAAATATATAGAGAATAATAAGGGAAGTAACAGAAAAATAATATATCTACATGAAAAATATGCCATTCATTTATTAAAGTATTTCAAGTGGGGAAAATTCATATGTTTTTCCAGTGTTTGCAAGCTAGCCAACAGCATGATTTCCTAACTAGCCAAGCTACCTTTGGGTAGTTGGCAGTTGACATATTTCTAATAAATACTTCTCTAAGCACTTTGTAAGAAGTCATTTTGGCATTGCTTTTTGAACTACAATTCATCAAAAGCACCCTGTAGATTAATGCTATTCATGCTGCTAGATAAATGCTGTGAAGTTCAACAGTAGTTTACCTAGGATTATTGACACAAGTAATGAGAGGCTCGATGAAACAGTGAAACCATACTACTCTGTGCTTTAAAAGGGCTCCAATTGGGTTCATAGCAAAATAAAGGTTTTTCCCCTTTGCACATGGGTATAATGTTTTATTAGTCACTGGTTGTATAAATATAAAAAGCTGCTCTCTCTTATTAATGGTTTGCTGTTTCAAAACCCTACTAAATGATGAAATTTGAGTGGCATTTCAATCTATAATGAATGTTGTATGCATTCAGAATGGAGTGATAAGTGATCATTTGTGAGAACTTTACCCTTTTATCTTTTACACCAAGGTTGATTTTACATTAGCTGTGATAATTTAATATAGCTTCAGCACAGAAGGGCCTTTCATGAGTTGAGACAGTTGTCTTTGACTCTCCTATAGTTGCCTAGCTTCTATTGATTCTTAATTTGATGGAGGTCTGAGCACTTTCCTATGAAATCATTTGCTATCTAGATGCCTGTCTAATGGTTATATTTTATTCTTTAGGTGTCAGTGGAAGTGCATTACTTAAACGTTATCACACTTAATTGTTAACAGCGCTGACATTTTGTGTTATAGACACCTGAAAGTCCCCCCCTCCTAATTACATCTTTGCAAATTTCAACATTAGAACTACAGATTGTAATTTGAAACTGCAAGTATAAAATTCACCCTTAATGAAAGGCCTAACAAAATCAGCATACAAATACCTGTAGAAAAAAAAACACAAAAAACATTGAATTTACAAAACATTTAAGCTGTGTAGGTTCCATTTGGAAAGAAAGCATTTTTTTATTAACAAGCTCAGGGTTGGGAATATTAATGTTAAATCAGTAGCCATAGTTATACTATTAATTCCTGTAAGTACGGTAGTTCTTAACTGATTTACTGCTATAGAAATGTATCTGTTACTCTCATGTTAGTTATCTTGCTATTTATTTATGTGTAATTGTTGATTACTTTCATATTGATGGTATTAAAATAAGCAGTTACAGTGCTGTTTTTAAATATTTAGGGAACTAGGATCAGGAGAAAAATTTATACGTTCACTAAATAACTGTTTAGTCACATTTGATAGGCAAAGTCACGATGGGATCAAAGTGAAAATTGCTGAAGAATTTTAGTTTACATTGAAATAAATTAAACCTTAAGGTAATTATAATATAAAACAATGGTAGAGCTATAGGAAAGAGACATTCAATAATGTTGTTGCTAAGGGTCTAGAAGAATGCAGTCCAAGTAAGAGTAATTCTGTATTATTGCTAAATAAATTCATAAATTTTAAATGAATGTTATAATTATAATAAGAATATCATGAAATGTTTAATTTTAATTACTTTCTCCTAATATTACAGCTTCCCAAGAGTTAAATATATATGCATGATCTTTGGTGAAAAAATTAGTGCATAGAAATATCTTATGATATAAAAAATTAAACAGTACTTTAATTGAATCAGCATGACTAAAAGTGTCTTGAACCAGTAATTTAGGGAAAGCATGATAAAAGCTATAATCACCTACTTTGTATTTATTTATTTGGAATTCTTGAGCTTTCTGGGATGGAATAGTGTCAGTCATATACAACACAATTGCCTTTCCTTCTGTATTTTTGCTGTGTCTAAATCAACCACTTTCTAATGAAGTCTTAAGTTCATAGGTTTTATGTGATATATTTTCTTTCCAATAAAGTACTTTAAAGTCTGTATCTTCCAAAATTAGTAGCAAAAAATACTCATTTGTCATATATGGAATGATTACAGATAATTACATTTAACATTGAGTTGACCTTATTTTGTGATTGGAACGAATTTAGGTTCCTACATTATTTTCCATCAACTGGTTTTGAAATATATTATTTTGAATGTATAAAAGTAGACAAATCACTTGGAAAATTTTAAGAAAGATCTTTGGAAAATGGGAAAGACAAATGATCATGTCCTCCCCAAAGACTAAACTTTTTCCTTCTGAAAAGGAAGTACATTGTGAAATTCCTTCTACTTTTTTTTCACACCCTTGCTAGAGAAGTCTGTAATCATTCTTTAAAGAACAAGTAGCCATTGTGGGAGTCAATCCTATTAGACTGCTAAGAACTATGAGCTCACACAGAAAGTTTTTGAAGCAGGATTTATTTATGCTGGTAGAACCAGTAGAGCTCATGCTCGAGGGACTGAATCCTTAACAAAGGCAAAAGCTCCTTTATAGAATATCTGATGGGGGCGAACATTTGTAGGTAGCATGTGGGAGATTACAGAAGCAGAATTGCCTAAGTACATTACTTGAAAAGCAGAGTCAGCATAATTTCAAAACTTTCTAAGCCCGTTCTGCAGCCACAAGGCAGGGGATTACCCCCAAGGCTGTCTCATATGCATCCTATTCTATTACTCTGTTTCTGGCAACCTTTCAGCTGTTTATGATGAAGAGGGGAAACAGTCCAGTTTCCCTCAACTTTGGGGGTGATGGGGTCTATTTTCTTCATTAAAAATAATGCAGAGATGCTTAGAATGTAGAATCAACTTCAGTCTCAAAGAACTCCTGAGATATTAGGAAGAAATGCAGTCAAAAATGTAGAAGAAAGTAGATAATTTATTTCTTTCTCTACCAGTAGCTGCACTAACTAGAGCACATTAGATTATAGAGAGATAGTGCTAGGTTTAAAGCTTTACTGGAGAACCCACCCTACATTAGGATTCACTGATGAACCCACCGAGCCATAACGTGACTCTGAGTTGTCTTACAGAGTCATGACAGAATTGAAAGTACTATTTACAAAGAATTTCTCACCACATTGCTTTAATTTTACTTCTCAAAATGTAATGACCTTTACCTGAGATTTCTCCATGTATTTTGAGACTTCAAAATATTTTGTCAGTGCTCTAATTCACTTCATTACTTATTTTCTACTTGTATAAATAAATTCACAGAACCAACTATTTCTTCTTTATGAATTAACTCTTGCTATTCTTATTAGCATAAAATTTTCCACTATGTGCTTTCTCACATTTTGTTTTCCTCATGTATACTCATTTTTCTTTTCTAGCAGTTTTCAGCT